AAGCACCCCGTGATGGCAAAATACAAAACAACGATATCAAACATAGTGCGTTAGTCTCATTTTCCTGCAATGACGGGTTTCAAATGAATGGCTCAAGAATTCTCAAGTGCATCGATGGAAAATGGAATGGCAGCGCTCCCACATGCAAAGGTTTGAGAACTTTTCCCTCTTCTGTCGTTTTTATCCCCTTCATCTCATTGGTTTGTACCCTTTCTTCTTCTTCTTCTTCATCTATTCTTGTTAGCAACAAGCTCATCAAATAATGCTTACTACTTATAATTTCAAAATTATGTTTGTCTATGGATTTTTTTCTATTTTTAAGGTTTCTGTAAAGACCCACGACCGCTTAAAAATGGAATAATCAGAGGAAACGATTTCAGACATGGCTCCACTGTTGAATTTCAATGTAACAGTCACTATCAACTAAATGGTTCGCAATTCGCCACCTGTGTGAAAGGAAAATGGAATCCAAGCGTTCCTAAATGCTTCAGTAAGTAAACTGAATGGAAAGAACTATTACTGATTTTTCTGCTACGGGGGAAAGAACAAACTTGTGTTACTGTAAAAAATCGAATGTCTTACGTTGTAATTTTGTTCAAACAGACCGCAACGAAGATCAAGGTGAGTAGTGGGGGAGGGACCAGTTAGTACCCTTTTTTGTGGATTTAATTAATTTTTTGAGTGCAATAAATTTACGCTGATTACGTCATGCATCTTATTAAGATAGGATGATGTCATAGTTTATTTTCAGTTGGAAAGTAGCAAGTGGCGTAACAATACCCAGGGGTTGAAGTCATCAAAATAATGATAAGATCGTAACTTAAAATCAACAAAAAAGTGATATCTTGTCCCTCCTTGGTCATGGTGATGTCATAATTTATTTAGGCAAGATGATGTCATGATTTATTTTAACCAGGTGGGTCGTGTTCTTATTTAGGTATGATATCATGGTTTATTTTTAATGGTCGCACAATTTTTATAAGGTGAAAAAAAAAAAAAAGAAACGGTTAAGAAAGTATTCTTCTTAAAGACATTTGTTTCTGAAGTATAAGTCGAAAATCATGGTTGGTTCAGACCAGATCATAATTGATGACTTTGAAAGGGGAATACACCTCATATGAAATAGAAGAGATTTTTCAAGATGTGTTTGTTACAGATGTGAGTCGTCTGATCTATGCAGCAGCGAATGAACATTGTGATGGCTGTGAAATGGATGATTTATCTCAACTGCATCATAATTGCTTAACCATGGAGGTCGAAGAGGCGTGGGCAACACATTTTGAACACGTGAAGGGAAAAGTGGACTTACAAAAATTACGGAAGTAGGTAGCAGGAAGTAGAAAGAGACTAAATTTGCAGTTAAAAGAGACATGTTTGAAATCTTTAGTTCAGCTTTGTAAGATGGATACTAGCGCAGTCTATTTACTTTATATGGACTTTTTAAGAAAATATGAATGGTATCAACTGGGCTGTTATAAGTACATGTAGTTATCTTCGCTGTGTTTGAGAGAGAGTGATGTGAGAAAAACAAGGGTAATCACTTTTTAAGTGTGAAATTCCAAACTCTTGTATCCTAAAAACAGCGTCAAAGGCTTGCCCGTTTAGTAACTTGGACCCGGTTTTCGGACCGTCTATTGAAAAAAATACGAATAAGAAAAACGATCACCTAGCAACGCGAGAAACGGCTAACTATATCTTATTTCAAAAGTAGGTTGAGTTTGATCGTCCGGGTGAACATGGTCCTGAATAGGACTGTTGTTGACAGTGACTGACGTTTCGACAACCTGTACGGTAGTCATCTTCAGAGTCAAAGTGAGTTGTATCACGTCAGTTGATGGTATTATACTCTGGTTATTGATCTTATTAGTCAATTACGTCGCGATGTTATTGGTCGTCTGTCAGTTAAGCCGTGATGTTGTTGCCTATGAAGACTCGTAATCAGTAAATGGTGCGTTTCGATCCGTATCCTATTCAGCGCTAAAACTCAGATATATCAACAAAACACACACACATACACAAATTGCAGCCGAAAACTCTCTATTTCAATTTTGTCTAACTATTACACAAAACTGTTTTCTCCTATCTATCTCGAGGAAATGAAAACTTACACACTATTACAAAACCGTTTAAGCGCTTTTTTTTTTTCCTCTACGCGGGTGGGAACGCTCCGAATTATCCCTTGCAACAATTCCTCACTTTTTTTAACAGAAAAGTAGATACGACAACTTTATCTTGTGTATATACTTCTTTACGCGCCGTTAGTCAGTTGATTATGCGAGTTAACAAGCCAACATTTGCATACAAATTGGCTCAGCTCTGCAGTAAAATCCTCAAGGGAAAACCTTGACGTATTATTATAAAAACACAAAACAACAAAACACTTAACAACGATCAATTAAAACACGCGACTAATAAATACTCGCAAAAAACCAGACACGTTTCTTAAGACACAAGAAATCAACTTCATGACTCTTTAAGAATTGCAAAAAGATAAAGTACTCAGCGATTTAAAAGGAATCTATTAGAATAGTCAAAGTTAAAGCAAGCGATCTTTTTCTACACTATGCATATTCTTTTACTTACCCTTCTCCCTTTTCATTTTCCTCCTCTCCACAATTTTATTATTTTCCCTCCTCGTTCTTTTTTTTTATTTTTCTTCCATCCACAATTAATTGTATATTCTCCCTCCTCCTCCTTCACCTCCTCATTTATCTATATATTTTTCAATCAAAAATACATCGACCTCATATAATAAAAATGTGGTGGTGGTGGTATTGGAGGGAAAATAATAAAAATGTAGTGGTGGTGGTGATAGTGGTGGAGGGAAAACAATAGAAATGTAGTGGTCGTTGTATATAGTTTCACTATTCACGAAGCTGTGTTGAAAAAAAGTTGAGTCTAGGGTCGATGTAGGGTCGTTGCAAGGTCGATGTGAGGTCGATGTAAAGTCAATGTGGGGTCGATGTGAGGTCGATGTGAGCTCGATGTAGGCTCAAAGTAGGGTCGATGGGAGGTCGATAAAGTGTCGATGTAGGGTCGATGTTGACTAACGGCGCGTAAAGAAGTATATACACAGGATAAAGATGTCTTATGTACGTTACTGTTTTCAAAAATTGAGAAATTTTTACAGGAAAAAAAAAAACGCTAAAACGGTTTTGTAATAGTGTAAGAGTTTTTCATTTCCTCTAGATAGATAGGAGAAAACGGTTTTGTAATAGTCAGACAAAATTGAAATAGAGCCGAGTTTTCGGCTGCATTTTGTGTGTATGTGTGTGTGTTTTGTTTATATATCCAAGTTTTAGCGCTAAATAAGATATAGTTAGCCGTTTCTCGCGTTGCAAGGTGATTGCTTCTCTTATTCGTATTTTTTTCAATAGACGGTCCGAAAACCGGGCTCAAGTTACTTAACGGGCAAGCCTTTGAAGCTGTTGTTAGGATACAAGAGTTTGGAATTTCACATATAAAAATTGATTACCCTTGTTTTTCTCACACCAGATTGATTAGAGCAATAACACAAATATTAAAAATGATAATTACTTTATTATTATATCGTGAAATGACATCTAACACTTTTTCTCAAACACAGCGAAGATAACTACATGTATTCACAACAGCCCAGATGATAGCATTCACCTCTTCTTAAAAAGTCCGTGTAAAGTAAATAGACTGCGCTAGTATCCATCTTACAAAGCTGAACTAAAAGATGTTAAACATGTCTCTTTTAACTACAAATTTAGTCTATTTCTACTTCCTGCTGTACAAGCTTCCATAATATTTGTAAGTCCCCTTTTCCCTTCACGTGTTCAAAATATGTTGCCCACGCCTCTTCGACCTCCATGGTTGAGCAAGTATGATACAGTTGAAATAAATTATCCATTTCACAGCCATCACAATGTTCATTCGCTGCTGCAAAGATTAGATGACTCTCATCTGATTCACATCGAAAAATCTCTTCTATTTTATTCCGCCCTAGGTGTACTTCCATTTCAAATTTATCAATTATGATCTAGTCTGATCCAACTATGATTTTTGACTTATACTTCAGAAACAAGAATATCTTTAAGAGTAACATCTTCTTGACCTTTTTTTTTTACACTTTGTATAAATTGCACGACCGTTAAAAACAAACCATGATATCATACCTAAATGAGGACATGACCCACCTGGTTAATATAAACCATGACATTATCGTACCTGAATAATTTATAGCATCATCATGACCAAATAGGGATATGATATCACTTTTTTAAAATTTAGATTGTGATCTCGTTATTATTTCGATGACTTCAACCCCTGGGTATTGTGACGTCACTTGCTCCTTCCCAACTGAAAATAAACTATGACATCAACCTATCTTAATGAGATGCATGACGTCATCGGCGTTGATTTATGCCACTCAAAAAGTTAATTAAATCCACGAAAAAGGGGGACTAACTGGTCCCTCCCTCGCTACTACGGTGATTCATATGCCTACAAGTCACTACGAACAAAGTTAGAATTTGTTTACAAGTATTATGTACAATTTTTTTCTTCTCAGAAAGGTGCCAACGCCCAGTAATACCACAGAATGGATGGCTGATTGGTATCAATTTTGCTCATGGTGGCGATGTAAGAATTGTTTGCAAATTTAAGAACGGAACTCTTGATCTTCGGAGATCATCGAAAATAACTTGCAACCATGGTGTCTGGAGTGGTCCTATACCGTCGTGTGAAGGTAAGGATCGTTTTGTTAATGTTGATTCAGAATGTGTTGTGCTGAGTTAATACGCCGTTATGAGTCATTGATAACATTATTTTTGCCTCATTAGCATCTTGCGCTCCCTTAAAAGCACCCCGTGATGGCAAAATACAAAACAACGATATTAAACATAGTACGTTAGTCTTCTTTTCCTGCAATGACGGGTTTCAAATGAATGGCTCAAGAATTCTCAAGTGCATCGATGGAAAATGGAATGGCAGCGCTCCCACATGCAAAGGTTTGACAACTTTTCCTTCTTTTGTCATTTTTATCCCCTTCATCTCATTGGTTTGTACCTTTTCTTCTTCTTCTTGTTAACAGCAACCTCATCAAATAATGCTTACTTATACTTAAAAGTGGGAAGCAATCTATATTTTGAGTACAGAAGCTTATTGATTAAAATTTATGCTGGACAGATATTTCAGTAGACACAGAACCCGTCTTAATTTATGCAGAGCAATTAAGCAATGCTGAGATGAAAGTCGTCGTAATTTGGCGAGGAACAAAAAAGAAATGTTAAAGTAATTGGTTACAGGAAATATTTCCTATGGTTTTAAGACACAACTACTGTAACTGTGCAGGGTCGACCTTTCAATTGAGGAGCCGGCAGGTTCAATTCGTAGCAAGGGGCTGGGAGTTTGGTTACGACAAAGGCTATTCAAATGGATCGATATAGCTTTTAAGAAAGTTACGAATATCGGAACTTGTTAAACATGCTACGTGCAAAGGGACGCAACATTGTAGGCCAACAACTCCCAACATTGTTAGATGATACATGTTGCGTCTGTTTGCACTCCCTGTTGCATCTTGTTGCGTGTTGTTGGGAGTTGTTGAGCAAAGTTTGAAACCGGTCAAAATTTAAGCTATGAGCAAACGGACCCAACAACTTGGCCAACAATGCTGCGACTGTTTGCACAAGACTAAATAATGAGATAAAAAGCTCAAAAAATAATACCCCTTGTAGAGAGCAGACTCAGTGTAAAAAATTGCGTTGCCCTGTTCTTCCAATACTAGCAGGTCACCAATATCTCTGCTCCTTGTTCGTCAGTTTCGTTTTATTTAACCGCCTCTGTGTCGTTATGGCTGAGATCGAGNTTTTTATCTTCTTGCCTTACCATAAATTTCACATATCGGTTCAATCCTGGCTTACCAGGCAACGACATCAATTGCGGAAAAGTTAGTAGTTGTGTTTGTGTAGAATTAGCAGTTTTTTGTTAAGGTATCTAATTTAAGTGGAAAGCAATCTATAGTGTGAGTACAGAAGCTTATTGATTAAAATTTTAGCTGAATAGATATTTCAGTAGACACAGAACCCGTCTTAATTTATGCAGAATAATTAAGCAATGCTGAGATGAAAGTCGTCGTAATTTGGCGAGGAAAAAAAGAAAAGAAAAAAGGTTTGAGTAATTGGTTACGGGAAATATTTCGTATGGTTTTAAAACACAACTACTGTAACTGTGCAGGGCCGACCTTTCAATTGAGGAGCGGGCAGGTTCAATTCGTAGCAAGGGGCTGGGAGTTTGGTTACGACAAAGGCCGTTCAAATGGATCGATATAGCTTTTAAGAAAGTTACGAATATCGGAATGCGTTATACATACTACGTGCAAAGGGACGCAACATTGTAGGCCAACAACTCCCAACATTGTTAGATGATACATGTTGCGTCTGTTTGCACTCCCTGTTGCATCTTGTTGCGTGTTGTTGGGAGTTGTTGAGCAAAGTTTGAAACCGGTCAAACTTTAAGCTGTGTGTAAACGGACCCAACAACTTGGCCAACAATGCTGCGACTGTTTGCACGAGACTAAATTATGAGATAAAAAGCTCAAAAAATAATACCCCTTGTAGAGAGCAGACTCAGTGTAAAAAATTGCGTTGCCCTGTTCTTCCAATACTAGCAGGTCACCAATATCTCTGCTCCTTGTTCGTCAGTTTCGTTTTATTTAACCGCCTCTGTGTCGTTATGGCTGAGATCGAGGGCCGCATTACATTGTAAATATCTAAAGTTCAGGCTGAGTTTTCCGTGTAGAATAACTTCATGTGTCAAGTCTCTTATTGACAAAAACTCATTAGACAATGACCTGATAATACTGTAAACCTGATCATTGGCCATGTGCATAATATTGAACCAAACGAGATACAAGAAACAACGAAGGGGAAAAGAGCAATATCTGCTTTAGCTCTTTGAAGCGGGAGCGCTTTCAACGATCTATTGGCAGGGAAAATCGTCCATGCAAACAGACATTATACAATGGACTTACAGCGTTTGGGTCAATCACAGTTATAATAATCATTGCATATTTTCACCTACAATTATTATATTTTCTGCTGTGGAGCGAAAACCGGGAACTTTATCTAGTAACAATGGTATACCTAGAGTAATAATTTTTTGGACTTTACTAATTAAAAATAATTAGAATAGAAAAACAGAAATTAGAGCTGTTTTAAACACCATTAATGACTGCTGACATATTTCGTGTTTTAAATGTGCAGTTAACTGCTCTTTAAATATTTTGTTATGATTTGTTTCAGAATGTGGAAGAGCACTTGGTATGGAAAATTATGACATTAAGGATTCTAGAATCACTTCACCTGCCAGGCGTTACTTTCGTCGGCAGCCCAGTCATGCTCGTCTCAATGGAAATTACTCCTGGTGCGCTTTAGGAAAGACGTACTTACAGATTGACCTCGGTAAAGATTATAAGGTGACGTCAATAGCGACCCAGGGAGGTAGTATGGATACAGGGCACAAGTGGGTGAAACAGTACAAAGTCGCATTTTATGCTGGAGCAACACGTGTTATGTACAGTGAATCTGGACTAGAAAAGGTAAGAAATCTCAAAATATATTGTAAGCCACATATATTCATTTCTTTATCATAATCATTATCAGTGTTTTTCTTTCTCTACCTTCCTTTTTACTTATTTATTGTTTGTACGTTTTACAAGTTACAAAAGATTTCTTATGCATTGCGACACTATGCAGGTCTTTTTAGATCCTCTTTTCAGGTTTTCAGGTATTTAAACGTTTTTTTTTTAAATTTTTTTAGGTAACTATCATCACAATAGAATAGTCTAAAATTGGATTTTGTAATGTACATTACTAGAGTGAATTTACTTGACCCGTGAAACAGATACGAACTACTAGACAGTGCAAAATAGCAACAGGTAAGCAAAAGTGGACAACGGAATTAGTGCATAATAGTGCGTAGTATTCTACTACCTATTTCACGGGTTAGGTAAAATCACCCTTATGTGTTTAATAGATGTTATTCCCCTTTGCTATTTATTCCATTTTCATTGTTGTGTTTAAGGAAAGGTCCTTGTTCTTTTCATTAATTTACATCGCCAGGAGCAGGGACCTTCTTCGCAACCCTTCTTTGAGTATGTTTGCACTGGTTGCCAGGAGTTGGCATTTCAACCCTTCCAGTATTATTACCTCTGCTCACATGTTCATAACATGGATGTTGTCATCTTTTTCCTCAGTCTATACGGGGGAATAGAGACGCCTTTTCTGTCGTGAAATACCAGTTGAAGGAGCCTTTTGTGACCAGAAAATTGCATATTTCCCCTGGTTGGCAACCCCAACCTTTCTGCTTAAGAGTGGAAATATATGGATGCAATCCTAACCCTGGTAAAATATTATCTTTGTAGCTTTATTCTGTTCACTCATCTGACATCACGCAATACGGAAGTAATTAGAATAACAAAATTGGTAGAACTGAATGGGAGTGCACACCCGGTATCCAAACATCGCATTCCCTCTCATTCCCATGTTAGACATTTTTTTTGCTATATCGAGTCCTTAAATGACGATTAAATGAACATAGAATAATTACTCAAGTTACGCCTAAACGGTTGGGTTCCCCTTGTACGAGTTAAGTCCCAAAGTAGTACAATAGACAGCCACTTTATTTATTAACTCAAAATATTTCGCCGTTTCTGATTGGCTCAAAACAACTGCTAATTATTCATAACCAGATGGCACTGACCAAATGTGGAAGATACGAACAATACCCAAGCAACCTTATTTTCAGGCAAATATTCCATCGATCTATCTCGTTTCTAGGTGCCGCAGCCTAGCTGTATTACTAAGTGAACTACAAAAACGGCTATCAGAAGACGAGATAGCTTAATTTCTGGCTTAAACTGAATGGAAGTAATGCAAGAATACGCAAAAGTTATGTTGCTAGATGGATGTTATTTCGTTTTGAAAGTATCTGCAAGAAATTAATTACAAACATCTTCTAAAATCCTTAATACTGAGGAGAAATAGGCTTCATTTAAATGAACAAAAAAACAATAAATTAATTTGGCTCGTATAATTAACAATTATTCTTTGAAATCGAGGTGAATAGTGGCTGATCATTCACGGCGAGGTAAATAGTCCTTAAGCCACTATTCACCGAGATTGAAAAGAATGATTGATATAGTATTTACGCACGAAGTGATCTCAACAAAATCAGAGAGAGGAAACCATATTTTTAAGTACGATTTAATTGGCGGATCAAATCACGCGAAAATTTAAATTTAGATCTTTGCAGAATTTTCAAACATGGCAATTTGCAAGTGTATCACTTCCCAAACAACAGCGTAAAGGCTTTAATGGAACTGTTAAAAATTTGAATTGTTTCCTTACCTCAGAAGAAAAGTAGACCTATGTTGTTTTCTGTTGATTCGCCAAGTTTATAGCCAAAAAGGTTCTTCGCGTGAGGTGCTGACAAAAATGGCGGCTCCGTTGCTCGAGGTAAGACGACGTCTTCCTGTAGCATTCTTTTTTCTATTTACTTGAAGCGTAGAATATCTACAAACATTTGCTCTCAAATTTGTTTGTCATAAATAAACTTATATTTTTGGACCAAATTTTTCTTTGTGGGAAACGCTGAGTTCACGAAACGGCCTCTTCTACCCGAATAAACGGGAGTGGTAAACAATACATCGAGCACAAAACTCAGCTACAGTAAATGGAAAAACGCCGTTTTGAATCCTTCGAAGTCTTTTCTTGCCCTGTAAAAAGACTTTAAAAAGATCGTTCTCTAAATAATTGGGAAAAACACCGAGTTCCCACATTATCCACTCGCTAGGAAGGGAATATTTAACAATTATTCCTCGAGCCCCAATTTGCTCTGAGTCAATTTGGCCTCATGGGCTATTGACTCAGAGGCCATGAGGGCGAGAGGAATAACTGTTTTTGTAAAAATCCAACTAGTTGATCAAAAATATCGCGACAAAACAACTTTAGCTAGTTAAAGCTGGACTTTAAGACTTTTTGCCGCCAAAAAGCCAGCACTCTGCGCTCCTAGTGGGCTATAACATATAGCCTAGTAGTAGCTCAACCAATCAGAACGCAGCATTGATAATAGACCACGAGCTGGATTTTACTAATGTTGAATAGTCCGAGATAGCGCACCAATAAGATTGCTTAAACCAACAAGATCACTGGGTGTGTATATACTAATGTAAATTATGCAGAACTCGGAGGCTTTTATCCACCCCGGCCGATAACATTCTCCTCGATTATCCCCATAATTTTTCATATCATACTCAGCCTGGTTCTATATTTGTCAAATAAAGCTTTTTACAGGTTGTATCCCTGATACCAGTAAGTTAACAATCTCAGTTATCACTCCATCCATAAGTTCTCAGCTTCTCTCTACCTTCAAGGTGCACGTGACAGGAAGAAGAGAGACCCTGGGCAGGAGATTCCTGTCACTCCAATTAAGAAAAGTTTATACTGGCAATTAGGGTCTTGGAATAAAAATATAAATAAGAAAAAAATAAACAAATAAGAAAACCACAAGTGCCACTACGTTAGTAGAATTGACTCCTGAAAATGCTTTGGATACTGCTGTTCCGTATGTCTCAATTACTAATTGATCCATTTGTTGTTGTTTTCTATCTCGCTCCTTTAAATCCTTATTTAATTTTAAGTAGCAATTACAATTGCTTTATTTACTGATTTTTTTTTCAGAATGCATTCTACCTGGTTCCATGTTTTGGGGATTATGGTCGCGAAATGACAACTCACTTAACTACTACAGAGCTTTTATCACAGGAATTACAGCCAGTCACATCAATTTCCTTTTACAAATAAACAATGCTCAGCGGCGCAGTTACAAGAGGACTGAACCAGTGCTCGTTATAGATGAAATCCCAGAAATGAAGGAGATCTCTGTTAATTCATCAGTTATTGCTGTTCACAATCCTAGTATGCCAGAATGGTATCGCGCTGGTAATGTGACTGGTACTAATGAGGGTTTATCCTTCGTAACTGTCAGGTTTAAAAATGGGGACCAGAAACCGGTTCCGCTCAACCAACTCCGGTTGGTGAAAAGACCTAAATTTTGTGTGGATAAAGTTTGAGACAATATAAAAATATAAAACCAATAACGTAAAACAATGTTCTCATATAATAGAGAATATAGTTGCCATAGATTAGGAATGAGTATAAATCATTTGGAAACTGGGCTAAATAAAATAGCTTTGTTTTTCAAAGAGAATTTAGCCGCATTGTAAGAACATAAGAGAAGCATGAATACTAAAAACGTTTTGTTAACAGTAGAATTAATTAGGCCAAAGATCTTAACAGAGTTGACTAAGAGCCTGTCAGTAGTTGAAGGTGGGGGACCCTAGATATGTGAAGTAACTTGCTCAGGTGGGGTAAAAAAAAATTGCCTTTACATGAAATTTTCCAACCCCACCAGCTCGGAGTCCCTTTTCCAGAATTATTTAATCGATGTTCGCTAAGCGCGAACACTAGTTGCAGTAACGTTGTCATAGAATAAAGAGCTAAAGTGGATGATATCTAACATGACGGAAGAATGAAAGAATGAAGCAGCATCTTTACCGTGTCCAGTTTACCTTCAATAACTCTCATAACTTCATTGATCTCAAAGTGAAATATAATGTTGACCGACAAAGTTTGTTTATCAGCAGCAATATGCAAACGTAATTTGCATGACTAATTAATGCCTATTTGTTTGTTTGTTTTTTTTGTTTTGCAACGTTGATGTAAACAAAAAATGGCAAGTAGACGACGTTTTTTGGTGGTTAATGCCTCTCTAATCTAACTTGCTGCTCTTTCTGTAACTTTTCAGTGCTGTGACTTTCTATTGTCACTTTTAATGGTGCCATATAGTTGCGATTCAAATAAGATGCCAAGTTGATGTCACGCGAATTCGACCCTTGGTAGGTGGGTTTTCCCCACCTTGAATCGTTTACATGGCAAACTTTGACCCCGGCTGAGAGGATAACCCAGTCTGCTAGACTCGGCGGGTCATCCTACGCTCATTTTAACGTGATGAAATTAAAATGAGAGATTATAAGACTTATATGGGCAGGCAACCAAGGCTCCCCTACCTCCATGTAAACAGGCCCTTTGGTTGGCAGGGTTTACGGTTAACTTAATTGAGTTTCTAGAATTGTAGGGAGGGCAATGAATATAAAAGAAAAGTTTGTGGTGTAAAGTAGTTGTAAAAGCAGAAGACCAGACCATTTAGAAGATGAAGTATATTAAAGTTTTAACTTTGTTTTGGTCGTGTGATGAAGTCGTCGCTGAATTTTATAATACTTAAAATTGAAGGCAAGGCAAATTTCAATACATAAACGCCAGCTCAGTGACAGATTTGGAGAGCACCGACGCTCAATAGAAGAAGCCAGAAACCCATATCACTTTTATCGTCCTACCGCCGTTTCAGACCACTTCTCCCTTTCAGACCATTCCATCAAGGACGTAGAACGCATTCTATTAGAACCAATTAATTCAGACAGGGACGGTATCCGTAAGGCCCGCGAAGGATTTTTAATATCTAAAGGCAAAACACTTGAACCCTATGGGATGGACAGACGAGATGAAATTTAATCTATTGACATATATATTTTTATGTAACCTCTTTATACAAGTTTTTGTTTATTGTATTCCTTAACCAATCACATTTTTTTTATTTTTGTATTATTTTATATAGTGTAACCGTTTATTCTATTTTCACTTAACTTTTCCAGCCCCTGATGAAGACTAGTTTTGTCTAGTCGAAATATTGGGCAAATAAATTTGTAAGCCTGAGCTGTCCGATCAGCCTTGCCTTCAATTTTAAGTGTCATTTTATATCGCTGATCCTGATCTAGGACAAGACACGGCTTTCCCACGCCGCTGTTTGTCCAAGTGGTCCTTGCAAGAATTGTTGACTAATTTTATAATAGACGGTTGAGATAACATGTAAATCATTCCATAGATCTCTAGCCCCATAAGTTATGGTGGCTCGACTGGACTTTTTTTTTTTTGGGGGGGGGGGG